GGGGGTCGCAGTGGCCACGCGCGAAGAGTAAGCAAAATTATTTGCAACGTTTCTCGTATGTTCGCGTGGCTGCTTATGCACACGGAAATCAAATTTCATCGGCGGTTTACCGACTTCCGGAACACTTCCACTAGCTTGTCCTCGTCAACCTGATTCGGCCGGAGTCGTCGTCTTGCGATCTTTCCGTTTTCTCTTGAGGCAGGGAATATTCGCCTATTTTACATATTGTACCGTTACGTTCGAAGCTGCTCCTCGTGATCGTACAAGAGAGAGAGAGAGAGAGAGAGAGAGAGCGAGAGAGAGAGAGAGAGACAACTTCCTCATGCGAATTTATTCAGTCACGAATATCAAGTCCAAAAGATGTTCACAGTTACAATAACTCTCCCACAATTTAATCTGTATAGATGCAAGAAACATGACACAGTTATTTTTAACCAAAGCCAATATATTCCATGTTTACTCAACCTGAATAAAATTCAAGACAATTCTACCGAAGGAATATACGATGCGAATCCCATTATGATAAAATATGAATTGATAACGAAACCACAATCATAAATAGATAAAACACGTATTGAAAATTCAGAAAATTATAATGCTAACCAACGGAAATCTTATCTCACGACCTCGAAGACATTGTCGACTGTTGTTCTCGTGAAAAATGGAAAAAAGAGACCACGTCCAGAGTAGCTCACGATAAGCGTAGCACACTTGGAGTCATTAAGACCTAGATGACCTGGATGATCTGGATGACTTTCACTATGAGCCGATGTGCCCACATCTGCAGTACGTAACCCAGGGTGTGACCCAGCCTGATCCCCAGTCTAAAACGGTGCAGTCTCCTGCAGAGAGATAGGGGAGACAGGGACTCGCCCAGGCAGGAAGAAGAGGGGCGCGAGAGGGGGGGGGGGTTGATTTTGCGGCAAGGGAGAACGATCAATAAGATAATTGAAGACTTTCTGAGCTATAGCGGCGGAAGTGGTTAATTTCGTCTGTCCTATTATTGTGTCACGGGGCAACGCTTATATTGTTTAGTGGGTACGCTCCTGGCACACTGTATAATGTACAGGTCCTTCAGGGGTCCCCGGCAGACGTCTGTTTGGGGATACGTGCAAGAGTTATTGAGTACGAGGTAATCCTAAGTAAGCGTGTAGAGAACATTAGACTCGAAAGCCCTCAGAAGAGAAAGAGAGAAAGAACGTTTCAGTGCAAACCGTTCTGAGATTGTATATAAACTTACTAAAAACATTAGCTCAGGGTAAGGGGGCACAAGCCCCCTCTCTTGTACGCCCCTTGTGGAGTCCTTAGGACTCCACTATGTCTACTGTTGACATCGAGGTGGCACTAGTTGTAAGCCTATGCATTTGGGTAGAGGCTATGGCGAAAAGAGCAAAAGCTTGACGTATTTACCAGGAACGAGTAGTCAGATTGCAAGGAACATAAATTGTCTGACGGCTTGACCAAAATTATTGGAACTATCTATGGGCATGTTGATTCAGCTACTGAAAGGTTCAGTTACTGCTCTTGAAAGTCTTTGGGTCATGCAGTCACAAGGAAGGCACGTCTTATTGATGCTAGGTAAAGGTTGACGCGAATATCTAAATGACTAGGAGGTGCGTGTACTTTGAATTTTACTAACGCACTGGATGATTCATATGAGGATTTCCGTAGGAATACGTTATCGAACAGCTATTACGCGCATGACAAATAACGTATGTATGCACATGAGTGGGTAATGAATCGCGCGTATCACTGTCACGACACGTGGAAAAGTAGTAACGGAGCATCTGCTGCTATGTTTGTGTCAAGCAAGAATCACCCGTGGATTAGAATGTCCATGAATATCTGAGACAGTGAAGAAAAACCTGTTTTCCTAACGATGGACGATATTCGTGAGGGAAGGAAAAAGAATTGAAAAAAAAAGACCTGGGAAGAAGTGCTTAATACGTTAGTAAACCCAAAAGGGTTTAGGAATCGTATTATGGGTTCCATGTTACTGGTATACTTCTGAGTCTTTTTTTCTAATTATGTTACTCGTAAAAAAAATAAATATTCATAGTATTAGATTGTATCAGGTAATGAGGGAAGAGACGAACGAAAGGAGTTACAGTCATTTGTGTAGTCCAATCCAATTATTGAATTGAGAAAGACTACAGAAGGAAAGAGAGAGAGCAAGATAGTGCCATAAAATAAAAAAAAAAAGTGAATTCGCCATTAGAAACAAAACAAACATTTGCGTGGCCCACGCGGTGTACGTGGCAAATGAACTTTAGGCGCTAGGATGAATAAAAATTAAGGATTCCTGCCAGATACTGAGAATCCCCTCATTGTATTGCCTCCTCTTCAATTTCGTTCTCTCATTCAATTCACGAACGTTTTGGTCCAACAAATACGTCAAGCTGTATAGAATATAGATGCATGATAAAATCCCACGCCGGCATCTTAAGATCCCACTCACTTCTATCTCTTTCCGTTCTCCATTTTCTACTTTGTTTAAACTCCGATATTTAATTAGGACTAGAGTGACTACTGTACACGAGCAGTCGACGCACGTGTTCCAAAAAAAGAACATAACCCCAAATATATGTCAAGTGCACGGAGTACATAATACTGCGTTAATTATACTGAGGTATCGCATACATACATGAGTTAATTAAACTCTGTGTGAAAGATCCTGGATACTAGTCCAAAAATGTTTACTAGTGACTCATGATGTGTAACTTCTTGATCAGGATACCCAGAGCCGGCACGAGGTCATAAATTCCAGAAATAAGGTAGGATCGATAAAAAGGGCGTCGTTAAAAAATTCCCAGGACATCATCTAACCTCCTCGAAGTCTTAATCCAGTAAATATTCCAGTAGGATAAGTATGCAAGATCGATCCACGTGAGTTTGAAAAATATCTATGTATTATCACACTTTAAAAATAAACAAAACTTACCGCTTGAAACTGCTCGAGGAGTTCCTGCCGGTCGTCGATCGCGGTGGCCATGTTGCTCCTAGAAGTCCTTGGGTCACGTTTTTTTTTTAAATCACCCCTCAGATAAATTCCCAGGACGCGTCACACTCCTGGGTACGTATTGGGCGTCGTCGACTAGTATATGGGGTACGCACCCGGCTTGTTTAAAAAAAAAAAGAAAAATATAAACGTCCCCGCAACGTCAAGACTCCTGCGGAAGAGTTCTCGCGAGTTCCCACACCGACTGTCACCGAACCACGGCCAGCACTGAGATGTAGCGGCGCACTAGCTTACTAAAAACGTGTAAAGCCTGGCTGTGCCGATCGGGTCTATTGGTGGTGGAAGAAGCGGTGGAAAGGAGCGTAGAAATTGCCAGTGGAAAGGAGTAACTGGAAGTGGCGAGTTCAGAGTAGAAGTCAAGGAGTCAGGAATTCCACTAGCCGGTCTTTTCTGCTCACTACTCGACCCACACTCACGCGTAGAATCACTACACGTGTCACGTCCTTACAGTCAAACGTAATCTTATGTGGGTTTATATGTTACATATATGTGTGTATATATATATAAACATCAGTTTAGAGCACATAAAAAGCTCACTGTATGCAGACTTTCGCTTTGGAAGCACAAACCACGCCATGCGAGAAGACACACTGGTGGGCAGTGCGGAGTGCGCATGCGCCGCTGCTTAAATGCTTAACGCACATGCGCATTGACGACTGTTTATTATGGCGCCCACTGGAATCATCGGACAGGCCGGACAGTCCTCCTACGCTTGTATTACCAACACACTTCATTGCTGGCACGTATGTATGGTGGTTTGGCAGCGTGTGAGTCGGTGGGTGCGAAGCCGGTTCAGGAATGCCTTGAATTTTTGATACTGGCTTCACTGGATTTTTTCTATATTCTTCCTGGGCTCTGAGACGCTAATCTGATGCCAAGTATAGTCGTACATGTTCACTTTCTTTTTTCTAATAAGGATACAGTCTTAAGGATGAGGAAAGGAGGTGTATGTAAGATGCTCCTCTTAAGGCACACGTGGGACTTAATGATATACAGAATGCATGCTGGTAGCTCGAGATAATCCTGAAACCCTTCCTATCTTATCCTGGATTGGAAATGGGTTTGACGGGAAGACGTAAGTCAGCATCTTCGTCCTCTCCGAAGGATTCAACGTGATGAACGCAGTCACGTAGATCACGATGTCTTTTTTGTCTCCTCTATTATGGTTTATTCATACGGTCACGAACGCCTCTTTAACAAAAGTGCCAGGGGGCTTTTGGATTCTTGAGACTTCATCGGTAAGAGTCTACAACAATCATCCAGACTTTGTCAGCATGTAATTATTAATTACCACCTACTGTATCAAATCACCATATCTTTTCAGATGCAGATGCAAGTGAATTATTGTTACAGGAATATTGCAGTCATATGTCTCAAACGGATAAAGCATACTTCCATTTGTGATAGTTGTAACAGAAAAAAAATTTGATAAATAGCGTCCTTGGACTGATTAAAATGAGAAGCAGAAAAAAAGAAAAATCACGCACGCACCAAGATATTTAAAAAATTAAACGCGACGCAAATCGACTGTCATTGAAAGGAATCAACACGGTGATTCAGTTTTCTCATCTGAATAATAACAATCATCAGGCGTCGCGACGTGAGTCATCACCTGGCGTTTGACAGTCAAAATTCTCATATATTCCAATGAATTTCATCTTAACTACGTTATTCACCGTATAGCCACGTAAGGCTAGGAAGGATATATAAATTTGTGTTTTAAACGGGGCGCCTTTTTTGTTTCCTCTCCTCGTACTTTATCTAAAATGCCACCAATGACGACGCGATGCGTCGGTTCTGACCCACCCAGTGGAATGTGAGTCCACGTGCGTAGAAGAAGCGTCAAGTATAAAAATTCTTTTTTTTTTTCATGGAGAGCAGAGAAGAGCTTTTCTCGTGACAGGCTGAACAAAATTTTGAAACTTTTAACCAGGACAATTGTCTTCGCGAATGAGTGAATTTTTTTTTAAGACAGCCTCTTATGTGTAGACATTCATATATTTTTTGATATATTTATCTAGATAAATCAATGATGGAGACATAGCCTTAATACAAATAAACGTAATCGTAATCCTAGGTTGCCGATTACGCTTCTCTCTCTCGACGAACATATCTGTATATATCTGTTTATTATCTATCTATGTATACTGTACTCTCTTCGACATAACGTTTAATCCTACCTTATCGGTTTTTATTATCATCTTACTGTCTGCTTTACTCTAATCACACGTTACTGTATACATAATCGCGTGTCGTATATTAAAATAGTCATTTTACATTTTCTCTCGTGCGCGCCAGATCGATCATTCGATTTAAACTAGAGTGAAAATTCGCGCGATTGACAAAATTGATCCGGCGCTACTCGTTTAATGAGTAAAATTTATTCTTTTTCCTTTTCTCTATAGGAAGGAAGATACGACTACGTGTAACCTTGATGATCCAATGTAAAGTCGATTCGAGAGTACATGTGAAATGGTTTTTCTCGTGGCGGTCTCTCTCTCTCTCTCTGTCGATTGCCATTGTGATTTCCCAAATAAAATTTGACATCCTGCGTCCGTTATTCACTCAGGATAAAATCTGTGAGCCGATTCACAGATTCGGCAGGACCTCGCCAACAGCTCTAAAACGCGTCACGCGTGGATCTTCTAGAAAAATGCCAGAGAATGATAAATTAATAACAATTGTTCCTCGAGAAAAAGTCACTTTTCCAAAATCCACACGGCGTCCGTCTATAAAAATATACGCGAAATCCGCTTCTCTATTGACGTTTCGTACTACAATTTTTTTCCTTCTTCTTTAAACACCCTTCCGAGTATCTAGTTTCACAGCCTGTTTTAATAAAGCGAGAGAGCCCTAACGGCCGAATGGCAAAGCAATGCCTTCCATTAAGTTTGTTATCGAGAGTAGGCATTTGCTCTATGACATTTACAGTATTTTTTTTTCTCTATGAACAAATAAGATTCAGATGATCTCTATGTAATTCAAAATCACGCATCTTAAAACACGCTGTGCACACTCGACGTATACACTTATATATACTTAGATCAATTTTAAAATACGTTTACGTCTTTGAGTGTCCTACTCATCGCATTATAAAGAATGAAGAGGACTTCAAAATTCGTCTTATTACAACAAGTAACATCTATTTTTGTTCTAAAGGTACAAAGTTTGTCACGGGTACGCCGTTCGCGAGGCCCACCAGCCCTCAAGAAAAGTCAACCAATCATTTTTCTAATGCCGATCTTCCCTCCTTATGATTCCTCTTTGCATCATCCTTGCCTAGCACGAATTGTATCTCACGACATAATGCATCTCGCTGTCTGCACTTGTCTCGTTCAATCGAACGTTATCCGGGAAAAGAGAGAAATGCCTAACGGCGATCAGACGGACAATCTCGCATAAATGGTTTTATAAGTGGAGCCTATCTTTAAAGTCATACATTATTTACAGTGATGAGTGAGCTTAGAAGAAGAAGAAAAAAAGATAAATGCCCGTCCGTCATACTCGAGTCTCCAAATTCTTGGAAATGGGGAATATGACGGATGACAATATCTAAACGGTGGACACGCCGGATGTGAATCGGATTGGTGACAGTAAATAAATTATAAAATAATCTACATATGATAGTAATAAAAGAAAGGAAAAACGTAATACTAATACAAATATTTATAATAATCCAACTAGAGAGATGAGAAAGGAAAAAATGGCCTCCACGTCGATTTCAGGACAATGCGGAAGGCAGATGAGATATGCTTATGGCTGTGTGCTGCCTCGGCTTCATTCTTTTATACAAATTATCCATTTTCATCTTTGTATTTTATACATATATATAGCGTGTTTGTGTCTGTGTCTGTGTATATATATATATGCATTTACTCAATTATAATCCACGGTCATCCAACTAAAATAATCCTAGGTTCCTTTTCCTCAATATATATGAGTATATATATCCTTTCAGTCTAACTTTACACACAGCCGCCCTGATTATGGCGACACAATAGCTGATAAAAAAAAACCACTCCTCTCTCACACTCTCTTTCTCACCTTCGCTCTGTACTTTCTCTCTCTCTCTCTCAATCCGTTATAACGTTCTCTCACTGTTATTCAAATTGTCTCCATCACTCATAACACATTCCATCGCGCACTTTCATCCTTTTTTTTAGTTTTCCTTTTCTTTCCTTCTTACTGCGTATTTTTCTAAAAGAGATATATTCACTACTCGCTTTTGCCCGATGCCTCTAATGCAATACTGTCACTGTGCTGCACTCTGTTATCAAACTCTGTGACACACCACAGGACCTTACCACGTGGCAGCATTTAAATAAACAAAGACAAGGAAAACAAACAAACAAAACACATGATATCCGAAATGCTGATTAACGTACAAAAACAAATTATTAAATCATAGACTAAGACGGTTCATCCGTATTCTTTTGCATTGATAGAATAATGACTTCCTTATATATGGAATATCACAAAACAAGATAATTCTATTAGGATTCGCCATCGCGCTTGTTCCTGTGGCCATTGCTCTCCTTTTATTTATATTTCTTTTCCTTATCATAGTTCGTCAAGTTCTTCGACTGGTTTTCAAGAAGAACTCGTAGCACGTGGATCCATTCCGCTCTTGCACACGATTTCACATATCTTTGTTCTTCTTTTTTCGCTTTTCTCGCTTTAACGTTGTCTTTGTGCACGTGTAATTCCTTAGAAGATCATGATATAGGACGAGGCCTCCTGGATATCGGGATCGGTGTCTGCGCTGTGGTATCCCTGGGACTGAGAAAGGGAAACAAGTGCATCCAGTCCGGATTTTTGTTCGACCGGTTATATAAAAACAATGCTAGCACCTTGCGAGAAGAACAATAAATACGATATACTAAGGGCATACATGGAACGCTTTAGAAAATTGAAAAAATGAAGAGAACTAATGAAAAATTAGTACACATACCAATTATGCTTAATGACAATTTAACGAAAAATGTATATGAATATACTTGTAAGGAAAGACATATATATGTATGTATATGCATATAATAACCTGGTATGTTTAGACTCGATTATTCATCCCAAGGACATCACCCGAATATCGTTTTACCATAAGAAACAAATGGGCGCGCTAACTACAGGTGCTGCGGTTGGGCTGAATAGTCGGGTATATATGCATATCTATGTTACGCAACCATAATAGTTTCATGAACCAAGACAAGTGTCATGTACATCTTCGCATCAAGCAATTACTGCAAAAAAGTGCATTCACCAGTAATTTACATAAATAATAATAAGAACAACAATAGTTAACGATCTCATTCGAGAGACACAATAGAAAAGTAAGGCGGGG